TTTTTTAAGTTATTTTTATATTTTTAAAACTGTATTTCTTAAGTATCATTTTATTTAATGAAAAATTTAAAATACAATGTATAGAGTATTAAAAATAATTAAATAACAAGAAACAATAGCATTAAAAACAGATAGTTACTTCAAGTCTTATGGTTGAGAGACTTTTATAATTTATAAATATAATTCGATTAAAATAATTTTTATTAATTGAAAACAAGCCGCAAAAACAGAATATATATAATATTAAAATTTAATTTAAACACAAGTAATTAAATACATACTAAACAATACATAGCTGACTGTTTTATAAAGAATTTTCAGCTAATTAATAACATTCTATAGATTTCAATACCTGAGTCCTAAGTATCGTTTTGAAATAAGTATGTACCTATATACTATTATGATACTTTATTGTTATCAAATACAGGAAATTAATAAAAGACTATAGATAATATAATTACGTATTTGGTATTTGTTTTATCGAAAACTAAATCACGTACCAAAATAATACTCTATTTAAAGATTAAAGATTAATTTCAAATTATTTCGCAGAAAAAATGGAAAGTTTAAAAAGTCTGTATTAGTATACTAGTGTATACAGCAATAATTTCTCTATAAAGCAGTTTGTGTAATACTTATCTTCTATACCTATATGATTTTGTTTTTAAACGTAATATAAAAACTGTTATACCTTATAAACATATCATTTTATACAATAGTGAATACAACTTGATCCCCATCTTTTATCGGCTTTTTAAACGTGTTACACTATCTTGGAAATGTACACTAATAAAAGAATAGTAACAGTAAAAAAATGCCAATAAAACACATAACCTTATTATTTACCAAAACTGGCCAAAGAATTGTGTATGACATAATCATAAAACAAAATAATAAAATTCAACCAAAAAAAAAAATATAAACGTTCATGAAGGTCAATATTTTAAATTATTTGTTTGCTAAACAATATATTTTCTTTAAATGATTGTCCCTGAATAATGTAGGTCGGTATTGTGTGTATTTTTTATAACATTTAATTATAAAACTATAAGAAAAAAGCTATTTTTTAAATTAAGTTTTTTGGGAAGCATATAGAGGGTTGTACTACAAATATTTGTTAAGCAATATTAATAAAGTTAAGTTAATTTTACAGATTATATAATTATTTATTAGTTAAATATTAACTATGATGAATAATCAATAGATTATTATTAATTTAATTAATTTTTAAATTAATAAATGAATATAATACAACATAATAAACTTTTAAAAAAATTTACTAAAAGTATTAAATATATTTTATTTAAAGTACATTTTTTTTCATACTTTAATATTATTCAGTTACAATAGTTTTATTATTAAGTTAAATATTATTATTAAAAATAATGTGATTTTTAAAATAGTATGATATCTAATAAATCGTAATATATCATGATAGCCAATCTATTTAAGGAACTGATTTATTGTCATATTATAATAAGTCATTCAGAAAATTAAATAATCCAGAAAATATATATGGGTATTATAATATACAATAGTATTTACTATTCATATTAAAATTTGATATTAAAACTAGTGAATAAAAAAAAAATTCTAAAACAATCAACGTACGTAAATTTATCAATAAAAGATGAATAACAAAATTCACGGGTAAGATTCAACTACAACCTCACTATAGAAAAAGGTAGATTACTGTGTGCAGTGAAAATGTTTTCAGCTCCTTTTATAATATCCCATATAGAATTGTCAAGACTTAAACGAGGTTTAACTATCACTTCGATACTATAGGGGTCGATTCTGAGGTAAAAATGTATGGTAAATCTACTGGAAATAATTTAATCAATACAGAAAATATTGGCATTTCTTCATAGGAATAATAAATGTATCGAATAATCTAAATACGTCATAAAAACCATTATTAAGTATCAGAAACAAATTTAAAACAGTACCACGACAGACATACATAAAGATACTAAAACAGTCTATACTCGTATGATGCTGTACAAAGAAAAAAAGATTTGTCGAATAACGTTACTTAACATAATTTACTTAAATTTTTACAATCAAGTATAGGTAATACGATAATTCCATCTAAAAAAAATTCTAAATAAATGACTTAAAAAATTACTAAGTATTATTTCAAAATGTACCATTGCTAATATCGTTAGTACTAACTTTTAATTTAAATTTATTTTAAACTTATCATAATAATTAATTTTGGGTTTAGATTATATTATTATTGACAATAATGAAAAATTAATAACGTTAATACTATGAAATACAATTTCCGTGCAATTTCCGACGCCTATATATATTAATTAATTTGAATTTTGAACATATTCAAGAATGAGTTTCAAATTTAATGTAATATATTTAGGTAAGTACTAAGTATGAGTACACAGTATATTCGTATACTGTACAATATACCTAAGTAGAATTTTATCTGCTACTTTAAAAATATGATGATTAATAAAGTAGCTTATTGTATAGTTATGTTAGTATAATAAATAAGCAGTATTATAAAAGAGCAAACAAAATAAATTAAAAGTTTATAATTATTTAAATATTATAAACTTAAATTAAGTAATTAATTACCTATTTTAAACAATATCTGCACAGTCAGAACTATAAAAATGGAATAATTAATATTAATATAAACATTAAATACATTAGTTATAAGTTTTATTTTGATTAATTACAGTTAGGCATGTTATAAATATAAAATATTATGACAAGTATTGTAAGCAAGATAAAAATGAGTAAAAAATTATATCACTATGTAATAAATAAAATATTGTTTAAACTGCTTTATTTAAAGTAAATATACTAACTACTTCAAAAATCTGTTAGGAATGTTATGTAAAACAAATTACATAAATTATTAACAAATACATTTTAATGAAATTATTTAAATATGTATTGTTTATTTTATTCATTAAAATATTCACATTGACAATTGTTTCAAAAATATTATACCTAGATCAAATTTTTGAATAATGAATTTATAAATTTAATTTATAGGTATTTTCGGTTTATTATTATTTTACTAAAAAGCATTCATCTGCTTAAAATAGTAAAAATTATTATTTAGAAACATTGATGCGTGCAATTTGATTTAAAATTAACCAAATTAACCAAAATATAAAATCGGTTCATATTTAATAGGATCACATTTTAAAATTACAAGCCTAGAAAAAACTTCATGGGTCTATTTTAATTATTAATATTATTAAAATGATTAATTAGCTATTCATTTGTATAATAACTACTTTTTTCTCATAAAATATATTTTGAATTTTGATAATATTGACATTTTCCACTTTTTAGTTATCAATAATGGCTTATAAAATAGAATAATTTACTAGTTATTTTATATGCTTAAAACACACGTGAGGGAGAAAATTATTATAGTACAAAAATTTAAATGTACATTATGTTATTTAATAATATATAAAATGTTACTAATAAAAAACTAACTCTGTTGTCCGAGATTTTGTATTATCGGTATCTATATTTGTAAGCAAACCGCTAATTCGGTAGAGTGAATTATGTAAATAATACATTTTTTAAAAGAATATACCTAATAAACAAATCAATAATTTAATTCAAATCCATAAAATCATAAATAATAATAACAAAATGATTGTTTTCTAGTGTAATTTGGATAATGATAATACAAATATTATAGAAGGTAGGTATACTAAATAAAATGTATAAACTATAAATGGTGATTATTTTTTCATTTTAATTTGAATTGAATATTTTGCAGTTTAAAATAATACATTTTTTAATTAAAACTATAAAAAATTGCATTATTTAATAATAAAACTACAAAACAGATTGAAAAAAAAACTTAAGTTTTAAATGAAATAGAAATATAATAATATAATAAAAACAAATCATATATGTGAATGCTTGTCTTTTAAAAATTATTGCCCATATTTTTTTCCTAACTAAATTCATATTTTTTATGCAAAAAATAGTAAATTAATCGTAATAAGCGACTAAAGTGTAAATAAAGCAAGTAATGGATAAATGTATAGTGTCTCATGTGTCTAATTTCAACTTACATATATACGAATACTTTTAATTTTCTATTAACCAATAAATACCTATGTAATAATTTAAAAAAAGATTAAATAGTTTTTAATATTATATTAATTTAATTTACACATATGAAATTGTAATATCTTATTCATAAGAAAATTAATTATTTATAATTTTATTTTCGTAAATTTGTATTACTTTTTTTTTGATAAATCTAATGACCAAAAATGTAATTTTAAAGATAAATATGTACAAGTACGATATAGAGTTGGTTGAATTTGTATATCTCTCGTAACGATCACTTTTGCGTAGCCCATGTTAAATATTTATAATACATTTGAACTCAATGACAATAAAATAATACTATACTCGCAAAAAATTTTAAGAGGAGCACAATACACTCAGTTTATTATTATAATATTTTTGATAAACATTTTTGACTTATTTAGTTAAAAAATATTATATTTAACTGATCAAACGAGATGTTTTTTTAAAAAAAATGTCAGAATTATTGAATAATATATAATATAGTAATTAATTGTGCCAGATTTTAAGGATTTGATGTTATTGTTACTATTTTTATACTTACATTTTTATTTACAATATAGTATCCATGAAGAAAAAAATGTTTCACGGAATAAAGAAAGCTCTAACTTAAGAAAATATTATACGAGTCGTCATTATTATTTGTGTATTTAAATTATATTAATAGTAATTAATAATTTACTGATAAATATTTTAATGTTTTGGTTATATTTACCTTTCTTATAAATGATCAATTTTATAGTTTTTTATATTTTTATTTGTAAATAATAATATTAAAAAGTATGTTAATATTTACCAATTACTATTAAAAAATTCAAAATATTGTAAATCATCTTTTTGTTATTTTTTACTGATATTTATTCTAAAATGTTTAGTAAAACCGATAAAACAAAATTAAATGTACTTACGTCTTTTTCAATAACAGTTTTAGTCTGTATGTAAGTGCACAACAAAGCTCCGGTCAGTTTGATTTTGACGACTGGCTTCTGTGTGTCTGCGGAAAGCTCTTAAAGCCCGAGTATCCCACCTGTTGAAGACACGCCTCCTGTAAAAAACTACACACCCCCGTAGCTATCATTAGCTTTCCACCCCTATAATACTATCGCTAGCACTACTACCACCACACCAAGTTAATGACATATCATATAAATAATATACAAACAAAATTAGAGAGACTACAAATATTTCTTTATAAAAAAGAAACTTGAGTATGTATTTCCATACCAGGTTAATCAAAATTATAATGCCGACTATACGTAAAGAAGATGTAATATTTTAGTGTATTTATTTTGTGAACCTATATACATTATTTACCAGCAATATAAGACATGTAGATACCTATATAATTATATTTTAGACTTCTACTGAAGTAAGTATGTGTCTAATAAAAAATAATTTTAGGGTACATTATAATCATATTATTGTCGAATTTGAAAATATACACATTTTTATATACTCGTAAGTACCTATAACTAGCAAAAATGTATGTACCTATATTACAAAATTAGCCTCAAAAGTTAAATAAAGACACAAATGCTAATACCAAGAGTTTCAATTAATAAATAGGTAATTTGAAATTCTTCTTTATACTCTAAAAAGTAAAAAGCCAAATCAGTAGTTAGTATGTTATTTAAAGTCTAATAGAAATCTTGATTATTTAGGGAAGTACCTATAGTAGAGTTATTTTTTAAGATAACCATATACTAGGTAACTTTATGTAATTAAATAGGTATATATTTATTAATTTATAAATTACTTATGCAGATGTTTTACATTATTGAAGGAAGGCATTATAAGAATGTTGGAATTAATAATAAGTTTTAAACTAGGTACTTCGAGTACTAAAATCAAATATAATGTTTATATATTTATATATACATATATATATATAATTGTTTTAGATTCTGAGTGGAGCAAAGAATAAATTGATTAAGAGTATCTTTTTGTTTATGAATAGACATTTCGTTATGGAAGAAAAATTTATGTGATCTTCGCTATCGATGGTAGTTTCTATAGTTTTTAATAGCAAATTAAATCTAATCGGTACCTTAGATGATCAAAAATTCCACATACCTTTCTTAATAGTAAGGAAAACTAAAAAAAATATACATCAAAACATATTAAAATATTTAAACATATTTTTTTTTTTAATAAGTATAAAATTCAAGTTAAAAATGTTAACAAAATTTAAAAATTACAATTTGAGTTATATTCTTAAAACCTACCTAGGTACCTGATTCAAAATTATAATTTGTTAGAAAATGACACTTGTGATCTTTGAAATGTATAGGTAGGTACCTACTAATAAATTATAAAACTCTGAGATGTAGTTTATACATATTTTTAAATAGAGGTTAAAGGAAAATCGCTAATACCTATATCAATGGCAATATTTAATATATACAGTTTTAACTTAGGTACTTAGAAATGTAATAATACTAATTAAAATGTACTTGTTCATAATTTGTATCGAGTTATTTAAGTGTATTACAGTTAGTTTAACAGATTTTCTAAATCCTAGTATATTTCAGCGTTATTTAAGCTGTTAAAACAAAAACAAAAAAACTTAAATTGCTTAGGTATGTTACGTTATCCTAAATATTTAAAATAAAGATTAAAAATTTTCAGTTACCATGATTTGAATTCACAGGCCTGGTCTGTATCGTTTTTAGAGTATCATTATTCATTATGGACATCAATTGTTTTTTGGAAGTAATTTTTTTACACAAGTGTAGTAATGCACATAAATTTTACACCACACAACTATATGAAATTTACGTTACCTATCTATTATCCTATTGGCCATCACAATAAAGTATACTCTTTGACCATGGTTTTAAAAAAAGTATCTATCTAAAATTGTGTCTAAACCACAGTGTTTATACCTATACTGTTTGGTGTAGACCTAGTAATACCACGATTGTTGATAGTATACTATTTTTAAACCATAGATTACTCCATGTTTTAACCGCGGGTGATATTCAACGTTTATAGATAATATTGGTAATATTATTGTTTTCTGGTGATAGGTACTATAATATTATTTGCATATCACCCATGTACACCAGTAGGCTCTAATGCGGTAAAATCATAGTATTAACTTTAGAGTATAAGGTCTACGGACAATGGGCTTAATGAATAACGCTATTAATTTGTTAGAGAAATAATAATAGAGTAAAACACGGCCTTAGAAGAGCCTATCTTCTAATATTAAATTAGGAAATAATAATCACAAATAAATTATTAAATTTTATCAATCGGTGACGACAACAAACAATATAAATAGATAATCTGATAAAAAATAAAAATATTGTTGCTTGATAATACAATATTAGGTACATATTCATGACGTTTAATATCAATAACATTTGAAAAATGCAATAAGCTAATTAAAATTTAAAAATATAAAATAACAATAAATTTGTGTTCTATGTACCCACTATAGAGTGATTTTCAAACTGGAATGTGTCACGTCTGACGGACAATATTGTTTGGACACGATTGTCGCATCATCGAATACAGTGAGTAGTTGTCGTCTGCAAGTTGAACATGTCTTAATCAAAATATGCCACTAATATCGTACAACAATATCGTATTACCTGATACATATGTAGCCAATTTTTCGACCTCTGTTTTCAGGACTTGTTGAATTTCTGGACCTGATGGCTTTCAACGTGGACACTCCGTTTTCTGTCATGGCCGATTGGTCTTGGAATGAAGTGTGCAAGTACGCCCGTGAAGCTGCAGTGTTTTTGGACGATTATGCCGCCGAGTCACTACACTGGCACGGTGGATGCATACTTCTGTATCGAGCTGGCGCCAAGAGTGTCAAGGAACTGTCATCGTTTGAGGTGAGACCGTGCTCCATGAAATTTGCCTATAACATTTTGATTGTATTGTTTTGTTTTACATGTTCAGAGTGGCAATCCAAAAGACCGCAGGTGTTTATTGGTGATTGGAAAACCTGTAGACGAACTGGTAGTAGCAATTGTTCGAGATGTTTTGAATAACAGTAATTTTAAATATTGTCGTTTTGTTGCTGGATGTGGATTTGAATCATATAGTGTTGAAAATTTGGAGAACGAACTATGCAAAATTATTTCTGCCAAGTATGAGGTACCTATTGTGTAAATTAAACCTTATATTAACTAACTACTGTATAAAAACAACTAATTTATCATATTAAATAATAAATCAATTGTTTTTGATTTAAATTTAATTAAGCTTCTGAAATGCCTATCTTAATTTATTTATAATATATTTAGTTAAATTACATTCAACTAATTATCTGATTAACTATTTATGTAACTAGATTTTTACTTATTTATTAGCTAGAATTGGTTGTTTAGAATTTAAATAACATACTTGTATAGCAATGTCACCTATAGAATTATTTATTTACATATGCTTTTGTTATATTATGTTTTAGGATGGTACAGTGGACGTAATGGATATACCAATATCATTGACTTGCTTGTCTCCTACATTATTTTTAGTGCCCCATTTACAAGACATTCCTTTGTTGATAGAAGTATGTTATAATATCTAACAGTACCTAGTGCTCCAGATATGCTCTATTTATGAAATAACAAAATTTTATTTACTCACCGTATATTTTAATTATGTTAAATAACTAGTAGTACAATTTATAACAATTATGTTTTATTAGTTAAATTTTTATGAAATTCTATAATAGTGTTTATACAAATTAATATATTTCCATTGAACATGTTTATGTTTATGTTGTAGAATAACTATGAAGTTTATGTATCAAAAATTGCTGCAACTTTAAATAACATATTTAATCATTTAAATGTGAAACATGACCTTTATGCTGTTGGACCGTTAAGTGAAGCTGTATCTCATCATTTTTCTAAAATTCAAAAAGTTTGCACTAAATTACCAATTGCATATTTTTATTTTTTATTTTTTATATCTTGTTTTTTAGGTTTTAAATACAGAATCTAGCCGCCTAAATGTCATACTTATTGATCGAATAGTTGATATGTATGCAGTTACTGATTTTGCATCTAGTTGTCCATTAGACAAAATGAACATGTTACTAACTAGATTTCCCAAAACATGTTCTGATATAGCAGTCACAACTGAACCTTTGTTACAAGACTTAAAGTATGTTAAACTCATTTTTAACATTTTATATTTATGTAAATAAGTTGTACTTATTGAATGGGTTAAATTTAAATATAAAATAAAAATTTAATATTACTTGTTAACTTAAATTAATTTTTTTTTTTTCACAAAAATAATTACTAAAAATTTATAAACTTAAAATACAAACTATTACTTATTATATTATAATTTATAATATTTGTATACAAAATAAGATATTAGGAAATGTTTGATTTCTCTGTATCCCTGTACTAAAGTTTATTATTAGTATTTGAAACATTTTTTACACAAATATTATTATTAATTTTTAAGGTACAATTCAATCAATGAACAGTTACAAGTACCGATGTGCTTAGCTCCAACGCTCAAACCAACACCAATAGTTGAATGGTTATTAACAAAAACTGAAAAGAATTTATTGGCTAGCATAAGGACTACATTAACTGAAAAATGTTCTGGGCCTATTAAAAAAACTATATCAAGGATTACACCTCAGCTCTTAGAAACTTTTTTAGATGACGAAAAGTTTAATAATAAAGAATCAATAGATTTAAAACAAGTATATATTACAATTGAAAAATATGTATTAATTGCTGTGTATACTTTATCCTACGAAAGAACAGACCTTGCCAGTGACCAAAACTCATCATATTCCACATATTCCCACTACTTACCAGCCCAAGCTCATCCCATTGTGCGCTGTTGTCATCCATAGTACATGTCAGTGCTCACTAAATGCTGTGTAGAGAAAGAACTTCACCTCAAGACGGTGTAGCTGGTTCATTCACATATATGAACAAAGTCTGTTCTTTTGTTAGATGGAGTATAGTGTATTTAATACGTAAAAATTGATTACTTATACTGTTGTTGTTGAAAAGGAAATGATATCAGAAAATTAATATTTTCAATTATCTCAACTTAAATATAAAAAATAATAAAACATTTTTATATGTTTGCTATTCTTGAGCTAAAAAAAAAACTATCAATTTTTGTTTGTGCAATGTTATTTATAATTGTCTGTGTGTAAGTTATTTTTATCGTAGTCTAAAAGTATTCAAAAAAATTAAATTTTCATTTTAGCAACAAATTTATTAATATTATTTATATCAACATTGATGATTTATCTAATTTTTAACTCGCAATATTCTAGCAAGTGCTGTGCATTTGTGCTGCGTTAAAGTCTAAAAATCTCTCAAAAATTGAACTTGCTCAAAATATTGGCAAATTATTATTGCAGAATATTTCAATGGAAAGTGACACTGACATCTTAATACAAGTGAGTTAATTATGTCTAGTAAATTATAAATAATTAATTATAGTAATAATCTTTATTATGAAAATATTAATCCAAATTACACAATACAATAAAATAAATAAATTACCTAATATATAAAGTATAAGTGTATACATATATTTAATATATTTTTCTGTTAATATTTATTTTTTAAAAGGTTATTCAATTGTTTAAAACAAGAAAAGATAGAAAATTGACTATAGAAATCCTGTTATGTATTCTAGTTCAATTATATTCAGTTGTCGATAAAGATTTTATAATGTCTGAAGAACATCAAATAAATTTAGAAAATATTATTGGTGAAGCTTTTTTTGAAGACTTGGAATATTTACCAGATTATATCATTAATGATTTAATAGGTACACAAAAACAAATTCAATAAATAATCTAATCATTTATATTTTTTTTAAATGTTTAGGAATTAATTATACATTGTTGGCTTGTCAACAAGCTGCAGAAAAATTCCTTTTTATTTTAAAACAAATAAAATTGTCAAGACAGCATTTTATCCAATACAGGTGGGTTTTCATATTGAATTACTTAACTTATTTAGACAAACAAAAATATATTAACTAATAGCTGCTATCATTAATTTACCTATATTAATTAAGTTGGCATTTTTTTAAATTAGTTAATTAAGTAATAACTTTACCAGTTACTAGCTCAGTATTTTTATTAAATCAAAAACTGTTTTGAGTAAAATCAATTTATATATTTTGTTGCACTGTAATACTATTTATTATGATGCAACAGTAAATCAGTTTTATAGTATAATTCTCAGTTAATTGTATCTTATTCTTTCATTTCCTGTCCACTAATAATTCAGTATAGACTAATTTAAAAATAAAAAAGATTTATTGATATTTTTATTTGAAAGTTAATTCATGTAGAAAAATAATATATATTTTATAGCTTAATCTATCTTTATTTATACTATGGTCTTAACATCTTTCATAACCATAAAATTATAGAAAACCCAAGCAGTTTATAACCCTGCTTGATATACTATTATTTAGAATAAAATATAGGTATATTTAACACTTCATGATAATATAACATAGGTAACTAAAGTTTGAATTATGTTTATATAATATAAATACATTTTTCACTTAAATCATATTTAGTAGAGTAATGTTATCATAAATATGCAGTTTTTATTTAAGGTTAGGTTATTAGGACGTAATGTATTACAAAGTTAGTATTTTTGTCGAATATAGCATAATATAAGAAAAATATCAAAAATTTATTGCATTTAACAAATTATATTTTATTCAACATAGGTACTTAATTAGAAAAATAAAAATAATTTTTTATTAATTTTTAATCATGAACTTTAACATTCTCATTAAAGTGTTACAAAATCATATTTTTTATTTTTACAATAATGCTAAAAAGATAGAATAATTAAAATTACAAAGAATTATTTAATGCTTCTTGTATTCTGTCTTTATACTTTTCACTAAATGGATTGTTTTCTTGGTTCCGACATTTATCCAATTTTTTGCTAATACGTGATAGTTCTTTTGTGTGATCGTCTGCTATTCTGACATGCAATATTCTTATTCTCCGTACAACTTCTATCAAATCTTTTAAATGTTCAGACCCTGTTTCACCTAATAATAAATCAGTTACATATGAATCCAAATTTTCTTTGATTTGACTTGCTGAGTGTAACACAGCAGCTAATGCCAGTTGAGACGGTGCAAATAATAAACACGCATCTGTAAATAGTAACTTGTCAATGAAACTATCAATATGAGTACGCATACGGTCTGGATCAGACATTCGCGTTCTTGTCTTAATGTCTAGAAGGAATCCTTCAATTGCCTTAAATGGATGGTGCACTTTGAGATTGTACTTAATTTGTTCCATAAGAAACAACTCGTTATTCAGTATCACTGTGGTCGCTCTCGATTGATTACCTTTGATATTAGCAACAAACTGCGCTAGTGATACATTAAACTCATCAACTTTGCATGCCAAAAACAGACACGTAACCATTATTTCTTTGGGATGATAATCCATGACTGAGTTGTACAGATAAAATCGTTTTAAATAATTTAAAGCGGTTGCGAATACGTACTTTGGCATGGTGGGTTGAAATTTGTGACAAAAATCTCTTAACATGTATTCGTGACATTTCTGTATTATATGCTCTTCATTGGCATCCAAAAAAAATGTGTTCCGCTCATCGGGACTCATGTGCGATCCGAATCTGGTGATAAACTTTTTATTGGCATCTTCTCGCAATGCATTCAAATCCAATTCGTCTTTGAATATCCAATTCATTTTTTGTGTGCTCGTTGGAAACATTTTATTTCTACTCTACTATATCGGTACTCAATAAAGTAATCACCAGAACACACAAAATTAATCGACGTTCATGGATTTCGGCTATTAAGTAAAAATTAAATTAAATTTAATGTTGAATTTAACTTATTCTAATTCGATTCAGTCATTGTTTATTATCACGACGGACAGCAAACACGACTACACGAGTATTTTGAATCGTGCGAGTTGTGTACACAATATTAAGCCATACAATACGCCAAAATTCGGTTTACTGATAACAACACTAAACTTGATAAGAAAATATTTATGATTCAATTGAGGTGGATATTATATTATATAATAGTCACAGACGTCTATACTATAATATAATATAGTACAGAAGCATGGCCGTCCCCATACATTTTTCTAGGGTTTTCTAAAGGGGGGAGAGCAAAATTAATTTAAAAATAAATGAAGATTTTTTTTTTATACATTTTATTTATAGAACATTATTATGTTTCGTCATTATTACATTAAATCATTAAATCTAGTAACATTTAAAATTCTTGGGGGGCAAATGTCTTTCCCCTCCCTGGGGACGCTCATGTACAGAAGTCTGTGTACATAGTATACACATTTATATGTATATATGAACAGAAACGGCACATATTTTCAATAATGAGTATATGAGTACGTCGTCCTCTTAAGCAATGGATCGATCCCCCTGGTATTATAATCTTAGTACACATTGTGAATTACTTTGAAAATAACCCAGAAGAAATCGTAATCTAAAAGCTCTCATAAAAATCAATTTATTTGCTAGCCATTAGGTACTTTATTACTCTTCACAAATAATACTAATAATTTATATGTATTTATGTACTAGTATGCTTAAGCCCAATACATTTGTTCTTATAAGGAATTAATTTTTTTTTTGTTTTTTTATAGTAAGATCTAAGCATTTTTTTCTAATATAAATAATGTTTTCACTCATAAACAAAAAAAAAAATGTATTGTAAAATCAATACATCCATTGCTTACCCTAAATCTAAAATAAAGTTATAGAAATTACAAGATAAGCAAAATTAAATAACTAATTACTGTTAATTTTATTTTTAAATTTCCATCCCAAGGCAAACATCTTACTAATATTAATAATAATCTACAGATACCTATGAAATGACAATTAGGCGGTTACAAAATACAGATATATTATAAGAAATTTCAAATAAAACATTTTAATATTAAATAATTAATATAAATAAATGTTGTTTTTTTTTAATAGAAAACTCTTTTTAAGAGAAAATCCATATGTGCCAGCAATCTACAGTTCTTTTGTTAAACAGCTTATGGATGATGTATGTAGTCCAATGCGACCTAATCTTCCAGTCTTAAACACCAAATCTGATGGGATAACAGATTTTATAAAATTCGGTTTCAAGTGAGTATTGTTAAGCATTTAAATTTAATATTTAGTAATAATTCATTGATTTATAATAAAATAGATCTAAAATCTAAGATTTTACTCTAGAACATTGTTTTGTGTTAATTTATTATTTTTTTTCTCCCAGTAAAATCATTAACACCGTAAACAAGCATCCACTGGACTGTGACCATTTGATCGTGTTTGTCATTGGTGGCATAAGTGGTCACGAAGTGCATTCAATTTGTGAAGCAACAAAAAATTGTGGCATTAGGGTGAGTGTAGGATCTACTAGACTGTTATCACCATATGAGGCATTGCATTCATTATTTAAATAAGTTTAATCAAACATAAAAATTCACTATATTTATTTAATAACTTAACAAGGAAAAAACACTAATAATTAATTAACATTTTTTATATGGAATGAATAAATGAGCAATATTATTTAATTTTTGTACAATTCCATTCATTATATAGTCAATAATCCCTAGTACCAATAAAAGTCAGTTGTTTATTTTGCATATTGTACTTCAAATTTTAATCAGATGTAGAATTACTGAATGAATGTAATTTTTCGATGGATAAAGATAGCTGTTCTAGACTAGCCATTAAGGAGTGCATGTTTTCTGTACCTTTGGCAATACCTTGTTCACTGAGCGGATTTGATCCGTCTTGTCTTACACCAAGTTCAAAATGTAACCATGCTAAATGCTCTTGTTGCTCACGAATAGCCGTCATTTGTTCCATACTGCAATCCTTACCTAAATGTTTGAAAATGTATTATTATTATTATTATATAAATAAATAATCTATTTTGATTATTTATACTTTATTTAATGTTGTATCAGATAAATTTAAAAATTATTGTTATTATTTGTACATGGTGTTTGTATGTGTTTTTTTTTTATACATAGGGTCATATTTATAAAGATGTGAATTAATTATAAAATATAAAAAATTGTTATGCATTTTTTTTTTTTTTTAATAAATTACTGTTAATAAAAAATACTACAAGCAATATCAGTAGAAAGAACATATTCAATCAACTTGTTTTAATTCAAATTTAACAGCCGGGATATGTGTTATTATTTTGGTTATTGGACATTCTTTACTGCTTACCAAATGCACGTAATTTCCCAGAGTGAAAATCTTCAAGTAGTTGCTGTAGGGCTTGCTCCATTTGTCTGACATCGGTCACATCTGACAAAAAACAATGATGTAGGCAACTTCTATCCATAGTTTGTTCAGAGATTACTATGTGTTTTATATGGGACAGGATTCAACAACAAAAGCAACCAACACACAAAATATGTATATATATATAAAAAAAAAAAATAAAATAAAAAAATAAATAAATAAGCTAAAATAATAAAATATATAACTTTAATAAATGGGTAGGTAAATACTTAAGTGATATTATTTATTGTGTTTTAATTATGTGCAATATATTTAAATTATTTATTATGTATTAGTTTATGAAAAAGTACACGATGGGTGTGATGAACAATAAAAAAAAAAAAAAAACTGTAGTGCACGTATAACTACTTATATCACAAAATGTGTCATATATTCATAGTTATATAGCCAATCTACATAAGCTAATTAATTAATAATATTATGCATTTATTGTTGACATTTCTTATCATAAAATAAAATGTTTAACTAGTATAATTTCCATTGTCGAAAGTCACTTAAGATAGTTAACAATATTATATTATGTATAATTGTAAACAAATCCAAATTATACACTGCCTGAACAATATTTATGAAACATTTTTAATCAATGTAAACACAAAAAAAAAAACATAATATTAAAAAAAATTTCCAGTCATGATATAAATTTCATGAAAATGATTAATAGATTAAAAGCAATACAAATTGGATTTTATTTTATTTAATAACAATTTAAATTGTTAATTTTTTTTTCCATATATGTTTCAATCAAAACAAAAACATATATTCCTTTAGACTAACCATGCAAGAGATTAAATTTGCAATGTTTAAAATTATTAAAATATAATTAAATTTTATATTATGATATACCAATGTTGTTTTATGAAAAAATTGAATTCATTATAACTACTTTTATTCACATTATTTTTAGACAGTTAAAATATTTAAATTTTTTAAATTGTATATTTTAAATGGATATTCCAAAGACTCAGTGAAAAAATGTAATATATTTTATACATCAATACATAATTATTTATTAATTTAGGTAGTTAGTCAGGTATAAGGCAAGAGGCGTTAGAATATATTTGTCTTTATTAAGTTATAAATAATTATAATCAATAAACATACACTTGAGACTAAAATATTATTTTTTTATCAAGTTAAAATTTCAAATTGTGATACAATATATAGTTTATAGACATTTTTTGAATAATAATTGTTACATACCTTCACATGTATTGAAATGAAAAAATGAATAAAAATGAAATGTATTGATCACTTAAAATTTTTTTAAGAAATTTTTAATGGGAACATTTTTGTAAATTTATTATTCTTATATTATAAAAAAGTTTAAAAATAATTATTGAGATACATTAACCAAACATTGCGAATGGAAATTTATATAAATGACTACAATGCTTTAGGTTTCCAGATAAAATTAAAATACAAAACTACTTTATTACAAATGTTATTTAGTGGGTTGTCAAAAATGCTTTAGAAAAATTATGGCCTTTAAGAACTTCACATTTCAATGCCATAGAAATTGTATTTTGATTGATGAATATTGTTGATTAAAAGTTGTTTTTTTTTTTTTTTTTTGTTAAATCAATTCATACAATATAATGTTAGTTTTTTAAAGGTGAATTTTTAAACAGGTCTCTTTATTTTATTTAACATTAATATGAAAAAAAAAACTGAATATTTTTATACATATAATTACAGTTTATTTCTATTTTGACTTGACCCATTAAAACAGAATAATATAAATTTCATTAATTGGGAATAAATTAATTTTTTAAACTAAATAAATAAAAAAAATTTATTTGGTAATTTATATACTACTGCTCTATTACTACCTAATACCTAAATATTTATGTGGGTATTCAAATTAAATTAAAATAAATCTACTTAATGATAATAGTGTTAAAATATTTCAAGATTATCCAAACTCAACGTTTCAATTATTTAAGTCCATTAAGTTTAGCGAACAACACTATTTTAAATCACAAAATATAGTATACTCTACTAAGTGTAAGTATTGTGTGTATAACTACTTATGTAGGATTAGACAAATAATAATCAATATAAGGTAATATTAATGAAACTGAAATATTTATGTAAACAAAGTATACAAAAAAATCACAATCAATTAGTATAATTTTAATGAGATTAAACGAACCTTTTTTATTTTGCAATTTATTAAATTTTGGAGGTGGCGGACGTGGTGGTTTGTAGTCATGTAGAGAACTGCGTCCTAATCTCTCATTAACACACATCAAGCGAGTCGGACCACCTATGTCTTTTATAATACAAATAAATTAAAGAATATTTTATTTTGTTTTAAAATTGAGTACTACTAAATGCATACTGGACGGTTGAGCTTGTGGTTTATCTTGTATGGATGAATTACTTGACAACCTGGCTGTAGATTTATGGCATTCGTTCTTTTGACTTTCAATAGAAAGTGACTACATTTTACAATCAACAAATAATATTAATGATGAATGAAAACATTTAAACTATAATTTAAAATTACCTTTTCACTTACATTGCTAGTCTTAGTTCGGCTGTCTGAATGGGAATGTGCTCTTGGAGGAGGCTTGGGTGTAATTGGAGGTGTAATTTGTGAAATATCTGTTGGTCTAGGTTCTTCGTCAGAAGACACCAGTTGTTCTAATTCACATTCTTCCTTTTCTATAGACATGGTCTAGTATGTTGAAGTAATTAAATTTAAATGTAAATATGAATAGCTTAATTAATATTATAATCAGTCAACAATATTTCATCTGAATTTTTTTTTAGCTGTAAAATAAAATTAAAAAAATCAATGAACAGAAGTTCCGACGACAGTGGATTAACATCAATTCAAAACTAACAAAATCTACATCAAGGCAAACGTGTTGAAAATATGAAGACCTTGGACAATAAGTTTAATTACCTACCTACTTAATAGTTAACTATTATTAATAACACTATCGATACAGTTATTTAATAATCATTGTCAATTGTTAATTGATATTAATAACTAATTTAATTTTGTTAAAGACATCTACAATAGACTATACTGCATCACAGAAAATTACATAAACAACTACCGAAACCAAAGAACCAATACCCAAGTCAAATAACAACATTGAATATTATACAAGTGATTCAGTCCAAACACTCCAAACAGCAAATAATAATAAATAACAATTGATAACAGATCTATAGTGTCTCCCAAATCACCAAAATATATTATTATCTAATGATATGAAAAATTTTAAATGATGAAGATTTATTCAGATTCGGAATATTATTATCATAGACCATAGTTATTGAATAGTTATCATGGATAGAAGTGGTAGAACAGCATAATAATTTATTATACTCTTCTAATTAATAATTAATAGTATTATGTGATATAACTGACTACGAATTAAGAAATCGTATTCGATTTAAGCTAGTTACTAGTTTAACTACCTACTTATAAATGCTCATACTTATTCAATATTTAATGATTATTAATTCTTTATAATTTTAATTAAACATTAATTAGTTTAATCAATACTCTCAGATTTTGAGAAATTAAGAAGAGGAGCTGGAGCTCAATCCGACGATCTAAAAACTGCGTTCTAAATGCAAAACAACTTAATACAGACCCGTTTCAACACTACAATAATCATTTAACTCAATCATTTTACATTTTTACAATACAATTGGACCTTCTCCAAGAAAAATGGTTAAGAATATTAAAAATTATAAAATGTATTGCATTTTTCAACAAATTGTAATTTCAGTATCATTGACAATAATTTCAATCTATATTTGATAAAAATAATTAATGTGGGCGTTAGAGTACATCGTTTAGCATTTCATTAAAAAATAATTAAATAAACAAATAAGTAATTGTTGTGGTACGCAATTAAAAAAATAAAATAATAGAGGAGCTCCGTACCTTGTTAAAAATATTAAAATATTTAATAAAAATTATTATTCATATAAATTAGAGTAAATATTTTTGGGTACGTGGTACGTATTTCTATTATTTTTAAGATTAAAAGAACTTATATTCAAGTTCTTTGTACATATAGGTATATAGGCTTAATTTTAAAATGCATAAAATATGCATCTTTCTTTTTTTATTGATATTTGATATGTATTTTATACGTAATTTATGCCGCAGACTATAATCTAGACTTCAGAGAGTAATAATTATTGTTGATGAATTACACTCAATAAAATTAAAATATACTATTTAAATTATATCTAAGAATCAAAGTTTTCAAGGAAGAAATTAAAGAACATAAATGTATAACTGAGCATCCAAAGAAGCTGCACGAGCGATCAGCGAATGTACGATGCGCCAAAGTATATTTTTTGTATAGTACGTTAATACTATTGAATGTTGATCATAAATATTAATCATCAATGATAATGGTATATTAATTATTAATATGCATAGAGTTATAATGCTTGAAACTCACGTATATTATATTAAATTATATTTTATTTTGTTAAAATTTTTTACGAGTTTATGTTAGTTTATATTTTTATCATATTCTATATTATTCTACTAATAACTATAATACTACATACTCCAGCTTATACGATTACAACTTAAAAAAAAAATATTAGTAAAAACGGCCTAATAGTTGTTGTACTATCTATAGATGCGGCAATAAGTACATTATCTTGATACCTCTTCAAAACGTCTAAAAATGGATTAAATTATCGATTTCAGCTATTCTCTCGAGTAAACCCTTGACTATTAATCTACAGTCTACACACATGAAAACTATAAAGTATAAACTGTAGCCTGTAATATATTTTCTTATTTAAAAAAATATTTTATTAGTTGAATGAATGCTGATAATCCAGTGTCGACTGATAAGCGTAAAGTTGTGTAATACCTGTTATCGATTTTTGTTGTTATCAGAATTCGACGTCACTGATAACATTTAGACAATATTTCCAAGTTTCTACAAATATTTCGAGTTTAATTGTTAACAGTATTCAGTATTGTTCCTTAAAAATTTGGTTTGCCAATTCACTTTCTGAAGGTTCTTAAATTCCTATGGTACAGAAATAATTTCATCCTACGTTTTATGGCGACTAGTTGTCTGTCCACCTGTTGACCAAACGTCAGTAGACTCTATTATAACCCATCTAAAATCATAAAATATGTTATTGGTGTTATTATGGATAGGGCTGTGACCAGAGAACCAATCTGGCAGAAATGTAGATTTTGCCAAAATGCCACGTTTGAACAATTGCATCAATTTGAACGGTAAGTTTATCAATTTTAAATCTATACATCCAATGATCAATTTTATTCAATAACTGCATTGACATGTATTCTAATTTTTTCTTATTTGCAGTTATATTTATATGAATTATGTGCTAATTTTTTATATAGTTTATTAAATTGCGTAAATGTTAAATACAGTCCCGCCAAGGTTTAAAACATTTACCAGTCCTAAACCTGTTAAAATTGGTTAAAACAATTAAAATTTATACGTTATATTAAATACTTTAGTCTGACTTATTGTATTAAACTCAGTAAGTCACTGGTTCTATCTGATCATTTGAGTCTAATAAATAGGGCTCGGAGATTATTAAATTTACATATCTTTTTGAGCTATTAGATTTATTGCTAAGTAAATTTAAAATTAACTTTATGACTCCACAAAAATAACATTTAAAGTTTATAATATAAATTTTTCCATGTTTAGTGATTTGGTAATTTTATGAGCATATTTTTAAATTTTACCATTTTTCAGAACATATTTGATAATAAATGATATATTTATAATGCAATTTGAAAATTTGACAAAAAAAAAATGCTTTATAACATATAATTTATTTTGAGGGTTTTCTCTAGATATTTTTGTATTGTGTTAATCAAATCTTAAGTTGACATACAATTTCCTGTTTTTATTAATAAATATATTTTGTAAAAATTATAAAATATAAATATATTTGTATTTATGAAAATTATGAGTAGAAAAAATAATAAGTACATATTTTTAAAGCATATTTATTTTGTACTATTATGTGCTCATAAGTGCATTAAGTTCTTAGCACTACAGTAATGAATTATAAAATATAGGTTTAAAATTCTTTCTTATACATTTATTTTAAATTTTTGAGTGCCAGCAAAATTGTATGGTGCCTTAATCACATTGTAATAATGGTAATACTTTTTTTTCTCAAGGTTATATGAAAAATTGTATCGTACATTTTTTAAAATTTTTTTTTAATTTAATTTTATAATGGTAAAATATACTATAGATTTCTGTTTTTTATTGTAAAATATTATATAAAAATGTGAATAAATATTATATTTTATTGATTCATAACTATTTTATTATTTTTAATTAAGCAATAGGTGCATTTATTGGTATATAGACATAGCTTTTTTAAATTTCAAAATTGTTAAACCATTTAATAATTTTATAAAATCAACAAAAATATATAATTGCTTATTTATAGTATTTTATATATATGTTTATGACTATTTAAATTGGTAAATTTTTATTAAAATAGATTTAATAGAAATTACCTAAGTATAGGTTAAATTTATTAGGATTAAAATAGATCATATTATGATTAAATATTTAATTTAACAATAAAAATATTTAGTATTAATAATTTAATTATTGTAGGTATAAAACTATTATATTATGCAATACAAAGATAAAAATTTATTATAAAATTTATAAAATTTTAAGAGTAAGTAAATCGACTTTGAATTTTTGTTTTTTATTTTTTATTTATGGTAATTAATAAAAATGTAATAATACATTCAAATATTTAATAATAATTTTAATAATTTTTAAAGACACTTGTATGATGTGCATAGTAGAAGAAAAGATGGTCAGTACTTTTGTGAGTATGGTGCTTCTAGAACTTGCTGCAAAAAATCTAACGAATCTGATTACAAAATACACGTTGTACAAAACCATGCTTTCCAATCAGTTAATTGTGTCGTACCTTATCGTAAGACATCAGATAATAAACGGCCAGCAGATGAATGGAATTTTTACTCAGCCTCCCAAAGCCTTGCAACTGTGTTAAACGATCCAAGGCGGCCTCGATCTGTATGTATATATTTTTTAATTTAATAAAAATAAAATTTTATACATAAAAAAAAATTAATTTTTATTGAAACACCTACATTTATTCTTTTAGAAAGATTTCTTTACTAAGATATGGGGTGATAAATTCACTGATGCAAGTCCAATTCCTCCACCTCAACATTTGCCTGTAATAAAGCCTCAATATTTTCAAACTTATCTTAAACGTATACCAAAAGTAAGGAATATATTAATTTTTCAGTATTTTTGTATCTATTTATGTGTACCTTTAATTTATAGAGACATAAAAAACATGTAGAACTTCAGCAAAAAAAAGATAAACAGGATTATCCTTCTGAAATCTTTCAGCAATTTCCGAATTTACGCTTAACTAAATCAACAGGTAAGAATGAAAATATAAAACATAAATTATGTGTTTAAAATAAGTTTAGAAAAAAAGCTAAGGGAAATAGACTATTTTTTTTTTTTTTTTATAATTTATTTATCCATAATTTTACAAAAGATTTTTTTTTATTAGAATCCAAAAATTAAATGGAAAATATTATAGATAGTGAATGACTAAAGTGTAACACATATTTTATCAGGCGTTGATCCAGAATACATTAACAGGGAGGGGGGCATCTTAAATAAACATTATTATTCAAATTCTAATTCTAATTTATCAGTATAATTTTATAAATAAAATAAAAAGTAAATACATTTTAGGTTAAATTAATCAAACATGTATGATAATGAAATATAAAACATTTTATTAAAAAAATTAGAAAATAGTACAAAATCATTTTGTATTTTTTATTGAAATGTGTCATTTGTATTAGATTAGTAAATTAAATGGTTAAATTTTGTACATGATTCATGAAAAATAATAATCAATAATAAAATATGAAAAATATTAGGCAGAAAAAATATAGAAATTATCACAGAATATAATATTTTTTCGATTTTACAAATTCATCTAGTATATTGTTATAATTAATACCTGAAATTTCTATTAAAATGAAATAATGTAAGTCTATTAAAAAGAGATGAAAAAGTTTGTTCTCCATTGTTATAGTGGCTGGTATGTTAGGAGTATAATATGAAAAAATGTATATAACTTTT